CACTCTTTACTCGCAAGCTCCGTCACGCATTTCATCTGGATATCTGCTAGGAGCAACTGGCGCGAAAAAAATCTGGTGCATGTGCGACGAGCAGTAGCGCGTGATCCTGCTGGTGCCCGTGGCCGGTGGTGTGGCAGGAACAGGCTTCTGCAGGAGACAGATGAGCGCCTCGCAGTCATCAGGAATGGATACAACACCCCTCGAGCACATACGTACGCAGCGTTGCCAGATGGGCCAGACATAATCCGACAAAAATCCTCTGATGAACTGTGGGGAGGGGTATAGTCCTTTCACCGAAACGAAGCAGTTACGTCATATTTAGTCAATTTGAATGTCAACCTTAATGCAAAATAGATCCTAGTTTGGTACGTAATTTTGAATTTCCCGGGTACATTTATGTTGGTTGTGTGTGTGAGTTGTGACATTGTCGCAAACGCCAACGGCTGTTGTTTATTTGTGGTTTATTTCGTAGAATCTAGTAGTTTTAAGTAATGTGGCAACCATGTGGGTAACTGTCATTATTTGACGTTGTGACGTCATTGCTTTAACTCGGTGAATATACTGTAGATTTGCTGATTAGCTTTTAGGACCTGATGCGGAAGATTTACACGATTTAGTTTCGGTTCAAAAGACAATTTTCAGTTTGCAAATTAAAATTCTTTCCTAACCTAACTCTCGTCATTGGGGACTGGGGCATCACTGAGTAGTCCCCTAGCTCTTTCTCCGAAAACACAAGTATACGTGTGGATGCTTGATTAAATTGGCCAGTTGACATCAAAGGTGTAGAGATCGGTCAGTGTACGAGTGTTTTGTGTCGATTACTAGGAAGAAAAAGTTACAGAGAAACTTGTATTCAGTCTTGCTTGGTGATAAATAGAATAAAATACCCAAGTGAAGTAAAAATCCCTCAAATTTGGGGAGAGTCCCCCAATATGGCAACACTGTAGGTAGACAGGCTCAGGATAGCGGTAAACGATATAAATCATTACTCGAAAAAATTATCGTACCGCTAAAAATTGGGAAGAACCTCGCACAAAGCATATAGAAAATGGGTCCATGTCGATTTTTCTCAATCTTGAGCATAATATATTTCTCCCGTTCCTCAACAGTATGATTAGTTTCTGGGATAGAGGGGCAGTTTGTTCGATTTCCAAAAATGGTGAATGCACCGACTGTAGTTAACTGACCAAATAAACTGGTGTACAGTTGTTTTGCGAGTTGCGATATTCTGGAGGTTCTTGACCAACTCCTTGGCAACACGTACAGGGTATATTTATCCACTTATACAGAGTGAGCACAGGAAGTCGGTTTTTTTAGCAAAGTTTGGGACTATGTCAGATTCTCAATTTTTGATCTTGGAAATTTGTCTATGTTATCTTTTTGATCTTTGGACTATTCTGATAAAAGTGGTATCTCAAATTTTTCGAAAGTGGCTATAACTCGAATTATCGAATTTTTAACTTTCCGCAATAAATGTCTTTAGGCTCACTTTCCTATTTTATGTCTTCTCGATGATAGCGCCAGGCCGACACAGGGCTCGTACGGTTATAAACTTTTTGGCAGAAAATAATGTTACATTATTGACAGACTGTGACTGTCGTATCTTGTAGTAGTTGACAAAATAAATCACTTTCGTACTAATGCTCATGCTGATAACGTATTTCATTTGCCACAAGGAGCTGAGAACCTTTTCCTATATCTTTCAAAGAATCCACAGATATCTTATGGTTATCTTGTAGTCGCTCTCTGCTCAGAATTTTGTTTGCACATTCACCATATTTATAAACACGAAAAATTACATTTATGTTCCAATTGCAAACATATTCACATACTTTTTTATACGCATGTAGTCTCAGCAGCCGATCAGAGATTCATGGCCCACGGTTATGAAACTAAAATTCAATGAAGTGTTCAAAAACTATGCCTTTATGCATAATACATATATTCTGTGCTTTTCTTTAATGTCGCCTCCCCTTTGATTATTTGAACGGATCAATTCAAAAAATTAACACTTGAAGTAGGTAATGAAATTGATGCGTAGATACCATATTTTAGAGTAAACTTGACAGATGAAAATGTCAAGATGGCCGCTAGGTGCCATCTAGGAAAAAAATTATATGAAAACGGGGGTCTTGTGGCACATCATTTTGAAGCTCCTGACGAGTACTTTATGACCCCAGAATATAAAGTCAATATCTTCACGTACTATAAAATGGTGGTACATTTAATAATTACTTGAACACACACCCACTAACATGCATATATCTGAAAATTATTGTAATTCCCTGCAGTATCCACAGCAACAGCGATAAAAACTTGTTTTGTTATTTTTTGTTGACAGTGACAAGAATATCAGTACGAAAACAAACATCATTGTACCATTAAAATATTCTTATTTAGTTTTCGGTTTTAGTGCTAGATACTGTTTAAACTATTTTTAAAATGGTCAATTCTCGTCCGTTGGAAGAAAAAATCGCAGCAATTTTTATTTATGGTGCGACGCGTAACTTTCACGAGACCGAAAGGATTTTTAATGATCGTTTCCTGTAGAAAATATTTAAGGCAACTTGTATCTAAATTTACAGCTACTGGTAGTGTAAACAACAAAAAGCCCCAAGGTCATCCGATCATCCCGGAAGAAAAACAAGTTCAAATAATTACTGAGATCATAGTAAATCCCCAACAGTCTACTTCCTCCATCGCGAATGTATGTGACGTTTGTCCTTCTACTGTATGGAGACTTTTGAAAAAGAATAAGTATCACCCATGCAAAATTCAAATGGTACATCAGCTAACTGAAGATGACCCTGATCGAAGAACAGAATTGTGCGAGACTGTGACGTAAACCAGTGCACGGCATCCTCCTATATCCAAAATATTTGTTTAGCTCCTGAATTTGACACTGCTGGAAGCAACATTTATGAATCTAAAAACACTGTTTAGAAGCCTGATATTCTCTAGAGCCGGTGCGTGTGCCAACTTGCGTACGATCACGCCATATATGCCTCCAAGGCAGGACATACATGATATGTTGTGCTATCATTCCTTGTAATTTGAAAGCCTTAATTCTATGTCGTAGCCTCTACTTGTAGTTCCACCGTTGCAGTTATGATATATTTTTAAGCGGCAATATTATAGAGCGCTCGGATTGTACAGGGTGGCCAACTATGATTACGAGGTACTTCTTTTGTAATTTGACGAAAAAGCTACAAATGCAGTTCAGTCATGTAGTTTTTATGTTTCCTCAAGTAAGTTTGACGCAACGGTATCAGAAACGCTTATATTTAAACCCTATTTCACGAGAATCCATTAAGTTTTGACGTCTACTGATATGAACAGCTGATCAGCAAGTGACATCCTTGTATTAGTCTGTAACGTTGCCAATAATAAATCGGGTGTTGAACTTACTTGTAACGATTTTTTTTGATGATGATTATATAGCGTGAACAAAATACGGCTCTGTCTACCTGGCGTTTACGGATACGTCAGAATCGTGTGTCATTTGTCATTACTAGACAATCAGCTGTTATTCTACCCTAATGGATACTCGTAAAAAAGACAATACGAAGACAGAATAAAGCGCTCAATCTCTACTGTGCATAACTCGCAACGCGGTTCATTTATCAGATTTATCCTACGGAGTGGCAACGAATGAAATTCTTGTTAAATGTCCCAGAAAAGAATTTATCATTGGCAGAATCTAGCGTCAGTCTGGGGGTGGGGTGGGCACCAGCTATTCGGGCTATCTGGAACATCTGAGCCCCAGCACACGTATGACTCATTATTTAAATGTGCCGTAAGTAAGAGGCTGACCCTCCGATGCGGAGTCACTCACTGCAAAGGTTCCTGTTAGATCACTGAATTAGTCAGACAAGTGGTAAACGATTGGTATAAAATAATAACAAACATGCAGAGAAAAAGAACGGTCGTTCGTTTCGATTCTGTATTTGAACGTTTAAGCAGTTGCGAAGTCACCGAGTAATATCAGAATAATCTACGTTCACTTTTGAAAAAAGTTGCAGTAGCAGCGAAGTGATGAGGAAAAACGGAAAATGGACAAAAATACTAACTTCGTTTTTATGTGTTTTTCGAGAGTTCGGTCACAAAGCGGTCGTTGTAATGTTTTCATTTTATCTAATTTTTTTATTGTATAAATATGATATGCTGCTTGAAATTGAACGTACGACTCAGCATCCGTATGACAAGATAATTCCAGTGGCCGAAAAAGGATCTGAAAGATTTCAGGGCCACCTGTGGGACAGCAGCAGAGCACAAAAATGACCTTAGAAATTTGCTTTGTGTGATTCCTCTACTATGTTATAGATGGCGCCTCTCTAATGCCTTTTTAATTGGGTCCTTTTAGATGATCAATATCAATATATCAATTGATATTATTGACGAGAAAAAATTGTAGAAAGATTAAAAAAAAGTTGATCACGTAAAGCTAACAATGTGGGTAAATGTGAGTATACGGTATTTTGGGTTTCATTGTTAACTAAAACTATATGAACATGTCTAAAAAAAATTAAATGACCATCCTCCTTCTCCTGAACGAAGATGGAACGATTTTTATTCTTTTGTGGCCTTTCTCTCCGCCACCACTGGACCGATTTTCAAAAACTACAAGGCGCTTGGCGTTCTTAACATAGTAGTAGCATGGTGTAAAAATTGGTATCACCCCATGTTCACCCAGGTACACTATCTCTTAAAAAATATGGTATCTTCATTCATTAAAACCTGTTTGTTACCTAGCCTAAATGGACCCACCCTGTATAATGATTTAAATTAATGTATGTTCGGCCATCTATGACTTTCGTAGTCAACTAACACCGAGTCACGGTGGATCTAAGGTAAGTGTAATCATTTAGAGTTCAAAAGTATATAACAGATGGCGCTGGTGCTAAGACGTGAGTGCTAGCTCCTACTTTCTATCCACCTGTAAGCAGTGCGACCATTGTCGTATAGATGTCGCCAGTGCGATTTGACATCGTGCTTGACACTGACAGATAACCTATATTGCTTGTTTGCTATTTTTGTTTATCAACCCAGAACCCAAAAAGTCTGTGAATTGGAATATTTGTTATAAGAAAATACCAATGGCTTCTTTGAAACCGAGAAACGCTGACGGCAAAATCATACTATCCCAGTTAACTAAGGAGCTGTTTCTGAAAAATATTGTTCAGGCGAGGCAGGCACAAGGAGAACATTTGGAGCACTACGATTTCAACAAATCTAGATGCAAAGTTTTATCGAAAAACGAAACTGTCAAGAGTAATTCCAGCGGCATTCTCTACTGGATGATGAGAGATTGCAGAGTTCAGGATAATTGGGCGATGATATTCGCACAGCGTCTAGCACTGAAACATAGTCTACCTTTGTACGTTTGTTATCTTTACAAGGACGTACATAAGCTGTGCCCCACCTTGAGACATCTCACCTTTCTCATAGAAGGTAAACCAAGTGTTCAGTTGTAAAATAATACATGCCTTGCATTCTAGTGATCTAGCAATTCAAGTTGTTTAAATGTTTATTGTGACACTGGATATTTGTTGATACTGAGTATCATATAACTTTCTAGTTTTTAGACAATAAATTATATGCATTCAATTTTGGACAATTCGGTACCATCCTTCCAGCTGCAGCTTGCTAGTAATTTGTGAATAAGCTTATGGTTGAAAGTCATCTACATAGCTGCAGATCTACCACATTGCTATTAACATATAGAAACTGCATCATTTAAATATAAATTGCCCTAAAACAATCGAATTGACCCCCTTGTCTGCTTGCTGAACTTTTGTGGTGAAAGTTCTATGAAATTACGAGGCACAACACACTTTCCTCCTTTTCCATTTAAAAACTTCATAACCCAACTGATGCTCACATTTTGAAGTTATTTGTAGGACATTAGATCCTATTATGTGTTTTTAAGGACTGAAGATAGTTGAAAAAGAATGCAAAGAGCTGAATATTGGTTTCTACATGCTCAATAGTTCTGCAGAAGAATTGTCTACCTTGATAGAAAAAAATAACATTGGAGGAGTGGTTAGTGAGTTTTATCCTTTAAGGCATCCGATAGAACAACAAAAAAGGCTCTTGGATAAGTTACCTAAAGATGTTCCAGTTGTACAGGTGATTATTACTACCTTTTTTTCGCAGTTTTCCATTCTTTAGGTATAATGATAATAAGAAAGTAATAATCATAAACAGCTGTATTTCTGAATGTGTTACAATACATCCCTATACAAAGAAGATCATGCAAATAGGAAATGAATGTAAGGTAAGAAAAGGAGTGAAGAAAAATCATTGTACTGTCTATAAGTGCCTACCAAAATCTGCAATAAGTACGGCTCCAAGTCAGTCAACAATGTCTTCATTTGAGGCATAGTTATTAGTACCATGAACGGTTTTTAGTTAGCTTAAGCCACATGCAGGGCGATTCACGTTTAAATGCAAACTCAAACTAAGCTTTTCTAGAGAATTACATAGATAATGTGTTAGATGATGTTCTGTTAGCAGTGAAAGTACGAATGTGGTATCATCACGATGGTGCCCCACCACATGTTCGTTGTGACAACCAATGCGTTGGCCTGCGAAAAAGTTGAATATGTAGTTTATAAATTCCATTTCTTGTTTTCTATGCTTGTCATAGCTATGTGTAAGAACAATTATAAATAAATGTTACTATTATTTGTTTTTATCCCTGATCTTAGATAGACGCTCACAACATTGTTCCACCATGGATCGCGTCTGACAAACAAGAAGGTATGGCAAAGTTCCTCCGACCAAAAATCAACAAACAACTACCAGAATATTTGTGTGGATTCCCCAACATATCAAAGCACAAATATGCTGGCAGCCTGAAAAACCTCACTAATCATCTCAGAGATTTAGATGAAGCGTATAAACATTTCAGTCCTAATTGGGACGTTGACGTCGTGAAGTGGGGAGACGGCCCCGGAGAAGAAGGAGGACTGAGCATGCTCAGGACGTTCATGACTGAAAAATTGAAGTACTATGGTGTTACCAGCAATGATCCATCCAAGGATAATACCTCCAAGTTGTCACCATGGATAAGATTTGGTAATTACTGGTACACAACTTGGATCAGTTTGGATAATCTTAGATGTTTAAAAAAAAGTGGTGTGCTTGGATCCTGAATTTGTTGCGAGAATGTGGGAAAATTTCCACACAGACTGTCTTATGAGATTTAAATTTCTAGTACACACACTAAGACATGGGTTTAGTGCTATAGTAAAATTTCAACATTATCTTTAAATAATTAATGTGTGAGATGTGCCAACCAACTTCATCTGCGAGTTTCCATCAGACATTATTAGATATTTCTACTCATGATGATATATCTAGAGTGATTCCTCCCTTATTTTTTAGGTCATATTTCTGCACAAAGGTGTGCACTAGAAGTAAAGAGCCTAGAGTCGTTATACAAAGAGCAATGTGAAAAGTTTTTGGAAGAATTGATCGTTCGCAGGGAGCTTACAGACAATTACTGTTACTATAATGAGAACTATGACAACATAAATGGGGCTGCTAACTGGGCAAAGGACACTTTGAAATTTCATGCGTAAGCACCATGAACCGATGTAATTTTTTTAAATTAATGCTTCAGAAATGCTAGTCGGAATCCAAATGAAATTTCAACCAGAGATCCGATTATTCGGGAAAAACCTCCTCATGGGAAAAATAGCAGTTTTTTATTGGAAATTGCAATTTGGTTCTCTTGACGTTACCCATGGCGATGTTTTGCAATGTTTATGTTTATTACACAAATAATTTGGTGTATGTTTAAAAAATGTAATGCCTTTAGCATATCCTGTATATGGATATACCTGCTACAATTTAACGAAATCCGCATACATTTATTTAATAGAATTTGCAACCTTTGCTTTTGTTCATTTGTGCATGTAATCAAAAGTGATGTACAATAAGTAAAATGAGGAAGAATTGTTGTATTGCACCAGGGACTTAGATTCTCACAAATTCTACGAAAATACCATATCTTTTTGCCTAATTTCTGACACATATAGTCAACATGTTAGTTGCTGATCTTTTATAATACCTAAATACTTAACACTATCTACAAAATCAAGTACCTCTCCCTCAATTTTCACTGGCATATTTAAATCCACCAGTTTCTTGCAATTATTCTTCGAACCTATAATCATACATTTCGTTTTTCTCGCATTTAATTTAACCTTGTTTGTTTTTAACCATAAACTGAGCTTGCTCATTACATCTACAATTTCGTTACTTACTGAACCGCTAACTGAAATTAATGTATCATCCGCAAACAAATTTATAAAAGAATTGCTAAGGACAGTGACATATACAGGGTGTCCCAGAAGTCGACGTCAAGCCGAAACCGGGTGATAGGCAAAGTCATAACAGCTATCAGAAAAATATTTAAAAAATTTTTATGTATGTGTTTTGAAAATTATAGGTCTTTGAAAAAGATATAGAAATTTCACACCCTACGGCAGTCTGTCAACTCCTGTTACTACAAATATTAACTTTTTTTGGATTTTATTTTTACAATGTAATGATGAATAATGCATCTTCAAACTGGCGTCTCAACCTTACTGCCAACTTTTCTCGTTCCGGAAAAATTGCCACTTATTTCCCAACCAAGTATTCCAAAGTAAAACTTTGCTCAACTTTAACTGGCTGTACTGGAAAAAATGTACTACGAGAGTTTGGCAAGTAACCTTAAAAGTTGGCGCATTTAATAACGATTCCAAAATGGTATAACACTTAGAAGATTACTCGTTAACTTATGCACAATTTTTATTTGAAAAAAAACTGATAAAAATTTTTCAAAATTTCCTAATTAAACAGCGATTATGAAAACGCACAAGGACCCTTAAGGATAACTGTTTGCACAACAGTGGGCGTCAAAATGCTGCTGATGATGATTTACCTTTACAGCAAATGCTCAAACTGTTTTCCTTCAGCCGCAATACACGCTCGACATCTTCTTAAAAAAGATCGGGTTATTAAACGAGCGAATCCACGGTTATTAACAAACTCAGCTGCTTTCAATAGTCTTTGACGTAGCTCAGCTACATTCTGAATCGGCTTGAAATACACTTTTTCTTTTACAGTTCCCCAGTAAAAAAAATCTAACGGATTCAAATCTGGTGACCGGGCTGGCCACGGTATTGTACCAGACCGCCTTATCCATCTGCCTGGAAAGTTTTGATCGAGATACTCTCTCACCGAGAGTGCATAGTGTGCTGGGCAGCCATCATGCTGAAACCACATGTCCCTGTAAATACTCAGTGGAACGTCCTCCAATAAATTTTCTAAATGATTTTGCAAAAAAACCTAAATATACCTCAGCAGTCAAAGTCTCTGGAAACTCAAATGGACCGATTATTTCACCATTTAAAATTCCTGTCCTGTGGTCTCATCTGACCATAAATTTTTTTCAAAGAACCGTGGATCTTCCCTGTGTCTTTCTAACATTGTGCGACAAAAAGCAACTCGGGGCTCATAATCCCGGGGCAGAAGAGCTTGAACACGCTGTACGTGGTATGGATGGAGCACGTTTTTTTGCAGGATTCTAAGGGCTGTACTTTTGGGCACACCTGTTTTTAGTTCTATTGCACGTACTGAAGTACTCGGGTCTTCTTCGACAGCTCCTAGCACCACGTCTTCGTAAGGAAGGAAAGATCTTCCCTCACCGTGTGGTTGATTTGGTAGTTGGCCCTCTGAGAACAGTAAGCGGTGCACATTTGTGAACACTCGATGATCAAAATGTAGCTGAGCTACGGCAAAGACTATTGGAAGCAGCTGAGTTTGTTAATGACCGTGGATTCGCTCGTTTAATAACCCGATCTTTTTTAAGAAGATGTCGAGCGTGTATTGCGGCTGAAGGAAAACAGTTTGAGCATTTGCTGTAAAGGTAAATCATCATCAGCAGCATTTTGACGCCCACAGTTGTGCAAACAGTTATCCTTAAGGGTCCTTGTGCGTTTCCATAATCGCTGTTTAATTAGGAAATTTTGAAAAATTTTCATCAGTTTTTCTTCAAATAAAAATTGTGCATAAGTTAACGAGTAATCTTCTAAGTGTTATACCATTTTGAAATCGTTATTAAATGCGCCAACTTTTAAGGTTACTTGCCAAACTCTCGTAGTACATTTTTTTCCATTACAGCCAGTTAAAGTTGAGCAAAATTTTACTTTGGAATACTTGGTTGGGAAATAAGCGGCAATTTTTCCTGAACGAGAAAAGTTGGCAGTAAGGTTGAGACACCAGTTTGAAGATGCATTATTCATCATTACATTGTAAAAATAAAATCCAAAAAAAGTTTATATTTGTAGTAACAGGAGTTGACAGACTGCCGTAGGGTGTGAAATTTCTATATTTTTTTCAAAGACCTATAATTTTCAAAACACATACATAAAATTTTTTTAAATATTTTTCTGATAGCTGTTATGACTTTGCCTATCACCCGGTTTCGGCTTGACGTCGACTTCTGGGACACCCTGTATAATAAACAGCAATGGGCCTAGTACGCTGCCTTGAGGTACTCCATAATCAACAGAAACGTTACTTGATATTTTACTTTCAATTTTTACCACTTGTAACCGCTCAGATAAATAATCACCCACCCACAGGAGGACTGTATCCTTAATTCCATATATTTCACATTTTCTCAACAACAATTTCCTGTCAATAGTTTCATGCGCTCTTTTCAGGTCAGCAGACACACACAATCACTTTACCATCTTCTACATCTTTTTTCCACTTTGTACATACAAATTGGCGTGCAGTTTCACAAGAATGATTCTTCTGAACCCGGATTGCCTCTCAAAAAGAACATCGTTCACACGTAGATGCTCACTCAGCTGTTCTTGCACTGTTATTTCTATAACTTTCTCGACGACTGGCATCAGATTGATGGGTCGCAAGTCTTCTGGCGTGGATTGTTTGTTTTGGGGACTGGATACTCCTCTTCAACAACGAAGGCGTCTTTCCTGTTCTGAGCGATGTATTTACAATATTCAACAGAGGGTAGAAAATTACAACAGTTTTGCGTAGCTTATTCAGTGAAATGTCTTGAAACCTTCAAAATTCATCTTCTAAAGGCACTGCTGCCGTTATAGCTTCCTCTTTACTTGAAGGTATGGTGCTTACTATATCAGTTACACTCTTGATAAAATAATTGTTCAATTTATTCTCTACAGTGTCACAGCCATTAATTTCTAAAGACATATAATCAATGTGTACATGTTTGTTAGAGTCAACTCAATGCAAATTATATGAGAGTCTGTCGGGCCCATGAGAACATGTCCGTTTAAAAAAGGTATCCATGTAAGGGAAATTTCACCGAACTTCTAGTCCTTTTTTTAGGAAAGACAAACGTACCTGGGTCTACACCCGCGACCAGCTCGGAGAAAGCGCAAACTCACGATGAGATGTGGAATGCAGCGCAGATTCAAGCAAACTCCGAGGGCAAAATCCACGGATATATGAGGATGTACTGGGCCAAGAAGATTCTAGAATGGACAGAGTCTCCAGAACAGGCGATCGAATACGCTCTGTGGCTGAATGACACTTTTTGTCTAGACGGCACTGATCCCAATGGATACGTCGGTAATATGCTGAATGACCTTGACAGGATACTTGAGTATATTATTCATCTCTTGCAGGCGTAATGTGGTCGATATGCGGAGTTCATGACCAGGGGTGGCGCGAGAGAGAAATTTTCGGAAAAATCCGTTACATGGTCGACTACAGTTTGAGGAAAAAGTTCGATATGGAAGCGTACTGCGCAAGGCATGGAATAAAAATGAAGGACAAAAAGGCGGGAGCTACTTCAAAGAAAGGAATCAAACGCAAGGCTGAGTGAAGAAACAGCTAATTCACCCATCGTTTTATATTTTAAACGACTATATAAGTACAAACAATTTACCCCTGTACCTTAGTTATCAGTATTTTATATATTTTACCAGTCTCATAGTTACTCATTTTACATGATGTAATTTCCCATAATCTTTCTTTTTATACATGTGTTTTGAGTTTTATTTAATCCTTTATCATAGTGTCCCAAGCTACGGAGTTATGGATATGAAGCTTTTGAACTTTTCTTGTGATAAAATAATTATGAAGGCTCACTCTGAATGCTGGTTGGTTACGAGGTAATTACGATTCCTAGTCTCTCACTCATTATCCCTGTCAGTATCTGATTTTCTCCACATTTCACGTCACTGCTTATCCTACAACTGCCAATCGTGCTTCCAACTTCCAGGAAGCGTCGATCAATATGGGAAAACGGGAAATACCTTTATACAAGAAATTCGTTTTGAAGGCTATCAAATTTTAAGAGCAAACACAATTTCCAGACATACAGGTGGTATATTATTATATATTTTATGTGAAATAGAAACTAGAGTACATGAAATTGTAGCTGTTGAGTACCAATGGTGGTATATTAATGTTGAATTATTATTTACACATTTACTACAGATCTCCATCTGGAAATATAAGCAGATTTTTTCGAAAATATCTGTGAAAAACATTTTTATCGAAACTGCATCACAGTACATTTGGGTGATTTTAATATAAATTTTGATAATCAAGACTTCTACGCAAATAAATTTAAACAGGTACTCCGTTTTTATGGCCTATGGCAAAAGTCTATGATCACACCAGAATTACAAATCAATCAAGAACAATTATATACTAAGTGACATATAAATCCGAACACCCAGTTTAAATGGTTTTATTTTAATAAAATTTTGTATAAGTACTTAATGAAGCATAATAAGTAAATGATAAAAATTTCAAAATGATTGCACTGTTTCAAAGCCCTTTGACCTTTAATAATGTGTGGATGCACCCTGATGTGCTACGCATTCTCCAACGCGCCTAGGCATGCTTCTGATCAGGTGGTCAATGTCCTCCTGTCGTATCTCATTCCAGGCAACCACCGACTCCTCTCGAAGTGCTTCTAGAGTCTGAGGAGGACGTTGCAAATTGAGCAATCTCCTAGCCATCATATCCCACACGTGCTCAATTGGGGATAAGTCGGGAGATCTTGGTGGCCTTGGTAACAATGTGACATCATTATGTTGAAAGAAGTCTATTGTGACTCTTGCAAGATGTGGTCGGGCATTATCTTGTTGGAAAGTTGGATCTGCCAGGGTGTCAAGATAGGGTAAAAGATGGGGTTCTAGAACTTCATGAACCATAAGCTATAGCACCCCAAACCATAACTTCAACGAATGAGAAGTTTTGGCTTGTTTTCATACCGGCCACACTGGGTCCTCCCTTTAACTCGAGAACACCGACGTAATCGCCTTGAGTGGTGCAGACAACGGTCACTCTGGGATCAGGAATGGAACAGTATTGTCTTTAGTGACGAGTCTCGATTTTGTTTAGGCATGCACGATGGTCGTGCCAGGGTTAGAAGGCGACGTGGTGAAAGGAGGAATCCACAGTTTTTTGTTGAAAGACATGTTCATCACACTGTTGGAGTTATGGTTTGGGGTGCTATAGCTTATGGTTCCAGGTCACCTTTAATCTTCATCAGAGGTAAAATGAACGCGCAGCGTTATATTCACGAAGTTCTAGACACCTACCTATCTTGACACCCTGGCAGATCCAACTTTCCCACAAGATAATGCCCGACCACATGTTGCAAGAGTCACAATAGACTTCTTTCAACATAATGATGTCACATTGTTACCATGGCCACCAAGATCTCCCGACTTATCCCCAATTGAGCACGTGTGGGATATGATGGGTAGGAGATTGCTCAATTTGCAACGTCCTCCTCAGACTCTAGAAGCACTTCGAGAGGAGTTGGTGGTTGCCTGGAATGAGATACCACAGGAGGACATTGACCACCTGATCAGAAGCATGCCTAGGCGCGTTGGAGAATGCGTAGCACATCAGGGTGCATCCACACATTATTAAAGGTCAAAGGGCTTTAAAGCAGTGCAATCATTTTGAAATTTTTATCATTTACTTATTATGCTTCATTAAGTACTTATACAAAATTTTATTAAAATAAAATCATTTAAACTGGGTGTTCGGATTATATGTCACTTAGTATAGATTTGATAACGAACGAACAAAATTTAATTGCAAAAGTTATGCATGCTCCTAAGGTTAGTGACCATTCATGGATATATTTTGAAGTTGAAAGTAATTTGATGCTAACAAAGTGGAATAACATTACTAACACTAACTATGTAAAATTACGAGAAGATCTTTGACTGCAAGATATGACTGAAGCGTTTGTTGTTGTTGATAGCTACTATGCAAGCCTATTGGATATTGTTGAAGTTTGCATAAAAGAAGCTACAGTCAAGACAACAATTTATAAAAGGAAAAATCCAGCACCTTGGTTCTCGCAGACGAAGGATTCTAAATTAAAAAGATACTACAATTATAAAAAGTTTTTTTTATTGTCATTGTGGAATGAAGAGAGGAGTACCCATCAATTATGATATTAGGGAATATCAACCATCATCTGCAAGGCGTCTCTGAGAGGCATTAGAATGAAAATTACTTCATCTATTAATTTTATTGTAGATAAGTAGCTTATTTTTCTTGTTAGCTGGTGCATCAGATCAATTATTGTTTATATTATTTATAAACGTACAACATTTATTATTGATCGTATTGTGACAAATAGAGCCATCTGTTGGGCGCGTCTCCTATTCGCCAGACCGGTGGATCACCTTCTAGATCGACGCGAAGTGACCTCCAATATTCTAGATTTCGCGTTGTGGTTCACCAGACCTTTCTCGAAGCAGCAATGGGGACTATAGATAACTAGGCGGTCGGGAGATGGGGGCAGAGAGTGCTGAATACGGTAGAGTAGCAGAGCGGAGTGGAGTACAGTGCAGTCAATGGTGACATAAGAGTTAGACATAAATAGTGGTGTATATAAATGTTTTATCAAGTTGAATAAATCAGTGCATTTCTTTTTGTGGAGTCCAGTGTTTTGATCCACACCCAAAAGAACTCCGAAAAACGCTACAGTATTAATGATGTTAAAAAGTATTTAGATACATTTGTGCTAAATTATACATCTATATGTATATCAGTTATTCCGATCTGATCCAAAGAGTTTAATTATGTAGTAATCTGCTATGGTCTAAATACCACTCTATAGAAATTATTATCGTAAATTCTTGGTTAGGTAGCATCTATTGTTGTTTTTACACTGATATTTGTAGTTTTCTAGCGCGGAGAAGGAAGTTTGTTACGGAAGTAGTTGGAAATATCTTTCAACTAAAAAAAATCGCTCCAAGCAAGAATTCGTTACATGATATGAAGGTCCGTAAGTTTGGTAAATGCAGCTTAAGATTGTTGTCCTATTAATTTGTCTTAAAAATTTTAGCCGTGACAGGAGGCGATTTTTTTCTTCTGCACGCTTTTGTACCCATGCAAAATTGTATCCTTTAGGTAATAATTTTGTATCCCAGAGTCCATTTTTGTCAAAAATAAGTTTAATATATTAAGCTTACGATAATTTTGTGAATTTTCATTTGCTATATGCAGCGCCCATCTATCTGTAATAATAAGGAAGTTACGGCTTTTTAACTCGTGTCAAGTCGTATACAATGCAATACAAGAAAAATATTTAAAATACAATTCCTTTTTTGGACTTAACCTAATCTGGCTCTGAGGTACAAAATGATCTCCCAAGCATTCCAGTTTCTACGCTACCTACGTATTTAGACTAGTGTTAAAATTGTGATACAACAATATTTTCCCTTCCTCTAAAATGTGTTACGAGATATATCTGCTTTTAACCTTTTCAGTATTTATGATAAATGGTTGAGATAGGGAGATATATATATATTTTGATGTTTTCTAAAAGTAATTTGCTCCACACATGTGGTGGTAGTAAAACGTATAGACTCAGTTTTTTATTGACATCCATCTTATCATCTGAAAAACCTTATCAAAAATGTTATCGCAGCCGAATTTCATAACACATGGTTGGTTAACCCTGCCTAGCCTTCTAAATCATACCGACGTTTGACATCATTTGATTATAATACATTTTACGCATAATATTTTTGAATCAAATTGAATCTCTCAATCTCTCTTAAATATACAGGGTGGCCCATCCATGTGTGGACGGAATATTACTGATAAACAAATACTTTTTGACAAAATATATTTATGGAATGTTGTACATGACATTTGAGGGCACATTTCTAAAATATTGGCCATTATACAGGGTGTCCCAATTTCAACCTACATATCAAAGTTGTGCTTTTTGAATGGCGTGCCTCAAATTTTATTGCCTATTTGGATAAACCAACTCAAAAGAAGAAAATTGCTATAACATACTATGGGGTTTCAGTAATGAGCTACTGAGATATAAGGTGTTTTGTCTAGAAAAACCTCCTACTTCGACGACACCTCAGTCCGCCATTTTGAAAGTTGGAGTTCCGAGTTTTGTATCAAAAAAAAATTACACGCCTCAGTTTTTATCTTGTTTGTTACTTTTTCGAATTTTACTTTTTGCTCATACAGGGTGGTCAAAAACGCAAATTGTAGTTTTTCTCAAAAATTTCAAATGCATCACCCTGTATATTTGTGCAAGTTTGGATTCAATTTTTTATAAGCTTTTTTTTTGGTATGAGGTTTGATTCAGATAAAATCACTAGATTTTGAGTTATTAAGCTTTTAATAGAACAAAATTAAGCGAAAAAATCACATCGTCCATGGAAACAAAGGAAAAGCGGGCTAGTTCCATATTGCCACTAGAAGTACAGATTTGACGTAAAAACTAAAAACAATCAGAACAGTATAAATCAGCTTCAAGCATAATAGAGAAAAACAACTATTACTACTCAAAACCTAATCTACAAAAACTGCTCAAAAATATCTCCACCATGTTGAATACACAGCCGCAGTCTTTGGATAAATGACCGTTACACATCCCTCAGCATGTGTTCCCTTATGTTCAGAAAAGCATTTTCAATCTTTTCCTTCATATTTTCCGGGGTATATGGTGGAGAGGGTTTTTCTAGACAAAACAC